GTGTGTGTGTGTGTGTGTGGTTGAGACTGTGTGTTTTGTTCCTCAGACGTCTGAGACATGGCGTGTCTGCTGCGCTGCATGACGTGCTGCTCTGTGCAGCGGCTGGGGAGACGATTCTTCCAGACCTTCCCTGTTCTGTATGATCAACAGGCTCTTAAAGGTGAGACGGGCTCCTCAGATCTATAACTCGGTTCATGTGAGGTCAAACTACAGCAGGAGCTCTCATAGAGAGTTTCTTATTTTCAGCTGAAAGTGTTGAGTGGTGTATCACATGTGACTGGATCTTTCTGTGGGGGAGATAAGCGAGGTCATTTAAAGGTGAAATCGAGATGATCTTTCGCTCTCAATGTCCTCGTGAAGTGTCCTTATCATTACATGTCACTTCCCTTTAGTTTATGCATGTGCGACTCCACTGGATCTCTGCCAATGAGCTTCTAATAATGTCTGCTGCCTCGCTCTGATTGGATGCTGTGATGCCAATTATGGAGAGAAATGTGTTAGCTGATCCGCCCGTGACGCTGAGCTGCCCTGAACGCCGCCCGTCTGTGTGTGTACTCAATGTTCCCACTGTTGCATTATGAAATAGATGGTAAAACCTGGAAAAGAGCATTGTGGGATTCACACACTTCACTGAAAACCATGGAAGCTTATTTCCACCACAGAATAAAAAGAAATAAAAAAGTAGGCCTAATTGCAACGTTTTTTCTCACAATTCTGAGTTTATCGCAGTTTTGAGTTGTTCAATTCTGAGTTTATTGCAATTCTTAATGCATAACTTGCAGTTCTGAGTTTAATCACAATTCTGAATGCATCTCAGGATTCTGAGTTCAGATTTCGCAATTTTGAGTTTATCGCAATTACAAGTTCATATCTAGCAATTCTGAGTTTATATTGAATGCAGTTTAGACTGAATGTGAGATATAAACTCAGAATTACAAAGGAAAAAAGACAGAATTGTGAGAAAAAGTAAATTGTTTTTATTTTTTTGTAATATGCTTCCATTGAAAACAGCTTCGCGGAGCTTCTGAATAATGTCTTATTAAAAATGTTTTCATATAAATTTATGGTTAGGGTTTAGGTTAGAGTTAGTCTATAGTAATTCTAAGTAGATTTCTACATTTTCTGAAAATAACGTGAGTGATATTTGACATCCAAAACTCACACTGCAATGCTAGTTGTGACTGGTTGCCAAGGAGTTGCTATGTGGTTGCCATGGTGTTGTTTTTAGCACATTAGGTGGTTGCTATGCAGTTGCTAGGGTGTTCTGGGATGTTCCTGCTGTAGGTGTTTTCCTCCTGTCTGTGTGTGTGTCAGGTGTGCGATATAAAGACGTGCTGGTGGGCGTTCCTAAGGAGATCTATCAGAATGAGCGGCGGGTGGCCGTGTCGCCCGCGGGTGTGGAGATGCTGGTCAAACAGGGCTTCAGGGTGCAGGTGGAATCCAGCGCCGGACGCGAAGCTAAGTTCTCTGACGATCAGTACCGGGCCGCCGGAGCCCAGATCACCGACACCAAGGGAGCGTTTGGATCAGATCTGGTCCTGAAGGTGAGAATCGTGTCTGTTTAACCCCTTAACTGTCACTCCCCATTTTTTAAAATAGGCATGAAAGTGCACTTTCCAAACTTAAATTGTTGTAATTTATGAACACTTTGGAATACAGACCTAAGGTTTGTCTCTTTTTAAAGAAGAAAATCAGCAGATTATTGCAAAAGTGTTTAAATTATTATTATTTTTTAATTAAAGTATCAAAAAGTTATAGAAATTAAAATTTACTGTAAAGAAAATGCACTATACTAATTTTATTTTATATATAGTAAATATTTTACATAGCAGGTTTTACTCTAAAATTAAAGCCTTATGTCTAAATAAGTTATGTTCCAAATTTGAAGTTGATATGAAAAAAAATTGAGGTTCCTGTGAGATTTTATTTAGGGTGTTATACCACAAACAGCCACAATTCAAACTCCATTGAATTTTTTTAATGCATTTTTCTGTCACAAATGTCTAGATTTCTCTGTAAATATTACTTCTATCTCAAAATAACCACCAAATATGGAATTCTGAGACTCAGACCTTTCCAATGATATGTTTTTTGTCAAGATTATAAAAAGGTTTGATTCTAAAAGACCGTAATGCATTTTGTAATATGACACTTGACACCGCCCACTAAGGGGGAGGAGACCGCCAAAAGAGTACCATTTAAAGTACCATTTCCATGGTAACGCAATGTCTGATTTCGAAATGGTTTTCACAGGATGAATCTTGGGCTTCTAAGCTTTCAAATGATATATAATTTATGATGATTACTAAAAGATTTGATAGAGAAAAAAGGACAACAACAAAAAAGAGCGCCAAGCGTCCCACAGGTGGGACGGTGACAGTTAACTTACTTTTAGCTTTGAGACTATAAAGCGGTTTATATCCTTCAGCTGATGCCTGAACGACATCTGCTCAGAGGCTCTGGATGCAATTACACCTGCTTTAATACTAATGTGATACAGTGGAGTTTATCGCAGTTCTGAGTTCATATCTCGCAATTCTGAGTTTAATCGCAATTCTGAGTTTAATTGCAATTCTTAGTTTAATCGCAATTCTGAGTTTATAACTCGTAATTCTGAGTTTAATCCCAATTCTGAGTTTAATCGCAATTCTGAGTTTATATCTTGCAATTCTGAGTTTAATCGCAATTCTGAGTTTATATCTTGCAATTCTGAGTTTATATTTTGCGATTCTGAGTTTAATCCCAATTCTGAGTTTAATCGCAATTCTGAGTTTATATCTTGCAATTCTGAGTTTAATCAGGATGAATCTTGGGCTTCTAAGCTTTCAAATGATATATAATTTATGATGATTACTAAAAGATTTGATAGAGAAAAAAGGACAACAACAAAAAAGAGCGCCAAGCGTCCCACAGGTGGGACGTGACAGTTAACTTACTTTTAGCTTTGAGACTATAAAGCGGTTTATATCCTTCAGCTGATGCCTGAACGACATCTGCTCAGAGGCTCTGGATGCAATTACACCTGCTTTAATACTAATGTGATACAGTGGAGTTTATCGCAGTTCTGAGTTCATATCTCGCAATTCTGAGTTTAATCGCAATTCTGAGTTTAATTGCAATTCTTAGTTTAATCGCAATTCTGAGTTTATAACTCGTAATTCTGAGTTTAATCCCAATTCTGAGTTTAATCGCAATTCTGAGTTAAATCGCAATTCTGAGTTTATATCTCGCAATTCTGAGTTTATATCGCGCAATTCTGAGTTAAATCGCAATTCTGAGTTTATATCTCGGAATTCTGAGTTTATATCGCGCAATTCTGAGTTTAATCGCAATTCTGAGTTTATATCTTGCAAT